AACTTTACTTCTCATAGTCTCCGGGGGTGCCGCTCCGGGCCACGAAATCATCTTTTTGAATTCTTCTTAATCTTTTATTTTAATCCTTTCGTTATTTTTGATTTTTTTGGTTGAATTTATGGCTTTTAGGTTAGCTTCTAGCGCTCTACATCTTAAAATTTTTTTTATCGAAATTAACACATAATCTATTTTTTAATATCAAATATACTTATGTGATCTTTGTATTCTTAATTATCAGGCTTTAAACTTAAGGCCTTCTTAAAGTATTCTAATGATTTATTAAATCCGTTCAGATGTTGTAATACAACCCCTAACATTCTTAATCATATTCATACCAATTCTGAAGTAGGCCTCATCATTAGTAGGATTTATCTAAATTACATTTTCAAAACACTTTAATGATTCCTCGTAATGATTTATACGATATAAATTCATCACCTTTTCTAAAAATTATCTTCTCTTATAAATCTTATGTAGGATTTAAAGCCAGTGCTTTCTTATAACATTCAATTGACTTTTCATAACGTATCTAACAAAATAAGTTAAAACCTAGAGTAATATTGCAAATTGCCTTTTTAAAGATAAAATAAAGGACTATCAGGATTTAGTTCAAGAGCTCTCTCCATATGTTGGTTTGCCTTATCAAAGATTTTAGTTTAATTTAAAAGACATCCTATCTATTTAATAAAGATGTACCCAAATGAAAATGCGCTTCCGAATTTTTTGGGTTTATATTTATAGCTCTTTAAAATGAATTGATTGCCTAATCAGTATTACCCTATTCTGATAATGCAGCGCCTAAGATTTGTAATTTCAAAAACCTTATAAATTATATGCTGAATCTGAATTCGGGTCAATATCAATCGCTTTTTTAGCACACCAAAGTGCCTAGTCAAAATCTAATAAATAAAATAATGCATTTCCTAAAGTAAATATTGTCTATACCTTTTTCAAAATAGGCTTAAAAAGTATGAGGATTTATTTTAATCAATTCATCAAATTATTTTATTGCTTCTTGGAATTGATCTTTATGCCTAATAACTTAGTTCAATATTAAACATGAAATCAAGCCCCTTTTTTAGTATTTTAGCTGATAATTTTGCTTTCTCTTTTAAACCTTTCCCTTAGTAATTCAGTTTTTCTAATATTTCACCTAAATATGTAATAACTTTATAACTTTTTAATTTTAGTGAATCTTCATCTTAAGGGTCAATTGCTAATGCTTTATTAACATGGACCAAAGCTTTCTCTAAAAAATTTAATTTTTCTAGTGAAACACCTTATTAGGTTAAGAATTAAATACTTTTTAAATAATAAGCGTAAGTTTAATTTGGATCTATGGTAATTGCAATATTGAAATGTCCTATTGCACCTTTATGGTCATCGTATTCTTGTATTTCCAATCCTATTTTAATTATCCATTTGCTAACCTTAATCACAAACATTATCATAATCTTCATCTTCTGGATCCAAAAAGGACACTTCATAGTTTTCTATTGCACTTTAATCCTCTTCACTCTAACAAACTAATATTAGAATTATTATAATTACTGTTATTGTCTACTAATGGTTGAGATGCCTTTTGTAGTTGTTATTTCTAATTTTTTACCTTTTTCTATTGCTTATTTATTTTCTTGCTATTTTTAACCTATTTCATTGATTTTATGAATATGAATGAATACAGATTTCCAATTTAATTATTCCATAATTTATGTTTAATTTCTGAAATAAGACAATAAGAAAATTTTATTATTTATGTTCATAGGTCTATTACTTATAATTGATATTCTGTAGACACAGCATGATAGAGAGCATTTAATAGATATATTCATGAATCCAATTGTTATTGCTATAATTTTAGGATCAGAAATACTTTCAAGTAAAAAGTTAGTTATAATCCCATTTCTCTTACACAATAACTTCTGAGATATGTCTCAAAATCTAAAATTTTATTATGTTTAGGTAATCCCTTTTGTATATATTTAATATATTTATTATAAACTAGAAATAAACAATGATTCACATCCTGAATAATTAATATTTTTTTGACATCAACTTAATTAATTAGGATAAAAATTCACAAACTTTTATTATAATTTCTTGCACCTTAAATTAAAGAAGATAGTGCTGGCTGAATTTTCAGTGTAAAGACTTGATGAGATAATTATAAATTAATAGAAATCAGCTTGTAATTGAAAATAGCAGATCTATTATAAACTCAATAAGAAAGTACATTTAAATTTATCGTATTAGATAACTGAGTTTCTTCTTTTTGAGTCTATGTTAGATTATAGTTGTTTTTTAGAAATTTATGAGATCAATTTTCTGAATAATTTAAATGCTACTAAGCTATTATTTTGAATTCATAATTACAAATAGCATAAATTTATAATTATATCTTAGTTATATATACTTAACATAATTTAATTTACTACTTATACACAAAATATACTAATGATAATTTTATAGGTTGATTATTGGAAGAAATTGATCTCTAACCTTTTGACTTCCTCAATATAATTATAAAAATTCCTAAAGTTATTTAATTCATTTCTAAATCCATATTTTGTTAGATTAATTATAGAAATTATCTGTTTTTTTAATTAGAAGTATTGTGAGTAATGTAAGTTTATCTGCTTTTAATAATTATGATGTAAAAATGATTTAAAATAATCATCACAATAGTTAGGGTTATGTATTATCACTTGATGACCCTAAACTAAAAGAACAATTATATACTTATAATATATTATTAGCTAAAAATAAAATATACACATATATAGGATGAAAATTAAATAGTTGCCCATATAGTATTTAAACATCTTGGATATGTTAATTTTTTAGCTATCTGAATATTCATTAGATTTCATTTATTTCTCTCTTCATATTTATAAACTTTGAGTAATTTTATCGATAAACTTCAATCAATCAGATTCCAACTTCATACTTAAAATATAATACAATCACTTAATTCCAAAATAAACTTTAAGAACAAATATCAATTCCATCGCATAGGAGGCTCTGAAAGGAAAAATGATGTCACTCTCAGTCAGCTGCTTATTACAAATTAGTTACTTTATTTTAATTAGTAAACCTTATTTTACCTTTTCATCCTTTATCGATGCTAAGCTCTTTCTACCATCTGTTATTTGATCAGAATAATATTAGTTTAATTTCCTAATTTTTTTATCAAAATTAAGTCTTCGTTTGTCTAACCGTCTATTATTTCAATAAATGTTTCAAAAAGGCTAAATGAAATTTTTTTTGAAAATATTCATTGGAGTTATTTTAAAAATTAATAAACATAATAAAGTGATAATATAAAGTCTAGATTTTGGTTGGAATTTATTATCATTCTTTTTTAGCATTGTTATTACCTGAGAAGAGGATGTAGCATTAATAATGATTTTTTTAATTTCAAATCGGTATTTAATAATAACTAATGACATTTATGAAACAATTTTTTGAAATTTTTAAGAGTTTAAGGGTAAATAAACTTGAAAATCGATTAGAAACAAATTAAATCAATAGAATCTCAGACAGGTTACTCATATTTAGGGAACTTTTGAGAATAATAATTATAAAATACATGAAAACCAGTTAAGCAAGCTTAATCAGAGGTATAACTTTAGAGAACTCCCCCATAATAATTAGGATCTTTTAATTAAACAACTATCCCTTCTGTTATTTTTATCGATTTAATGGGGAAGGGCAGTTATCGACTTGGGCTAGTTTGATTCCCTGTACAAATATTCCATTTTTATCCTTCAAAATTACATTCACTAAAAAAGGTCACACAAGGATCTAACACCTATAAAATCACATTTCGTATACCCCACGATTCTATTATTTTTTTAAAATAGATACCATCATATATTGGGTCATTCAAATTACTTTATAATGATATTACAAAGCTCTGCTTTCCTAAAGGCAATTAAAATTGACAAGTAATCTATTCAACAACATCAAGCCAAGAATTGAAGCAAAGATTACTTCCTTAAGATAAAATAACACTAGTTGTTACAACTAACTTGTTATCTAAAGTAATCCAGAAAAATTCTCCTCCATCCCAAGAATCAAATCTACCAAGTGTGAAAGAAAATTTCATTAACCTTCCTTCATTATTATTAGTAAATAATTTGGAGATTCTTGTGCTCTAACCAAATCGACCAATATATAATTTATCCCCACACCATTCGACTTATTAGATCCAATTGTTATTGTAACAACTAGCATCATCAGGCTATAAACAACTTTTGTAAATCAGTATGGGGTGTAAAAACAAAACTTTAAGCAAAGAAATTTTTGCCATAATTATTATGAATATATTTATTCAAATGAAGATTTTAATTTTAGTTTTGGATTTATCTCTAGATGAAATACTTATTGCTTTAAAAATTCAAATGATTAAAAAAGATGAACAGTAAATAATTATCAAGCTAAATTTAAATTATCGACGAGTTAGAATAAATATTATTTTCAGAATAAAGGTTTAGTACTATGTTCAACTCAAAGATCTCTAGATCAATTTTGATTTATTCACCCTCCTCTTAGGCTATATTAAAATTACATCAAACCTCTCTAATTATTTTTTTTTTGATTGACTGAATTTTTATGAAACAAGTCTAATTAAAGGAAAATCATAATATGAAGTAGGCTATTATTTAATGAGATTTACCATTCTATTTATATTGTTTAGAGCAAAATATATTATCGAATTTGAATAAATTATATAGAATAAGAGAATAAACATTTAATTGAACTGATATAAAAATATATAGGATAAATTTGATATTATTTTTTTTTAGACGGTTTCCTTAAAATATTTTGATTTTACATAAAAGATGTAATTTTTAATGAGGATGATATACATTTATGAATTGACTAAAATAAGATATTTTATAAGAGTTTTATGTATATGTTCTTACTCATATTTTCTAAGTTATTCAAGTTGAATTCGAGCGTATTTGATTTTGATTATTCAGATTCTAATCGGTATCTTACTTCATATTACGAAAATTTCAAGGAAAGAATAAATTTCATGAAAGGGAAATAAAAGAGTACTATTTAACGTATTTATCTGGTTAGATTGATTT